TTGCTGCACCTTTAAGCACGTTCCCTAACAAGAGGCAGCGATTTACTGAGGTGATAAGCTGTAACTAATACTAGGGTATCATAATAGGTAAATAGATTAGCACTATGCTTCTCTGTATTTTGCTTTCTAGGGAGCCGAGTGGCTCGTGCACTCGGAGGTGCTTACTGTGGCACTTTGCACTGAGCTGAGTGAAACCAGTCAGTTATGGGATTGCAGCTCTCAGAGCTGCTGTGGATGCAGCTAATAAAATGCATTAGTGAATCTATGGGGTAGCATTGATCACGCACCCTATTTTCTTTCTCCTTTCTGGTCCCTGGCCAGAAAAGGGCTGTAACAGGCTGTACCAATGTTCAGTGCCATGGCTATAAAATGTCCTTTGAGCTGCATTGTCAGCATCCATCATGTAATATTTGCAGGTATGCCAGCATCATTTGTTGTCAAGAAGTAGTGAGTGGTGTGGGCAGCCTGGGCTTGATCCATGATATCCCCCAGCTCGAGCTCCTTGGTTTTCTTAATGGAAGGGCCCAGCGTTTACAAAGCAGTTGTGATGCTACTGCTGGGCGATGGGCACTCATGGCTATGAGGGATGGGAAGGTGCCACAGAGTGGGCAGTGGAGGCTTTTGTTTCTGTACTGCCTGGCAGGTTCTCAGCACAAAAGGGCCCTTACAGGAAAGGAACAGTACCAGGGGATGTGGCCGGTCCTAATAATTGTGTCGCAAATCTTGTGATATTTGGCATGTTCTTAAAGACTTGCCTCCTAGAGACAGGGGATTAAATAACAATTGCTTCCTTTCTCTTTCAAGCAAGACTTAGCTCTGTGGTTTCAGAGAAATGCTTGAAATGTGACTCGGGCTGAAGGGAAAAAAAAAAAAAAATCTTTGCCTTCCAGCCTTCTTTCTCCTCCTTGTCCCCAGGATCCCAGTGTGGACACATTGCGATGTCTTATGATTTTTTCAGTGAAAGCATTTAAAACCATTGGAGGCATCCAGGACATAAAGTGTGGCCAACTCTGGGTGTGTGGGAGTATTTATGAGTATTTTAAAAAGAGGTCAGTCACATTCTGTGCTGAGACACTCTTGCCATGTCCGGTCCTCTTCAGAGAATGGAGAAACAAAAATGGGACTGGATAGCAGCAAACTGAATATCTCTGAGTGGATTTTTTTTGTCTTGCTTCCTTAGGAAAACCCCTTGGGCTAGTTGTAATTGAAATTTCTTTTATTTTTAAGTCAGTGTTTCTCCTTTTCACAAATGTGAAAGCCGAGGGTGCTCATTTCTACGTTGGTTTCTTAACGCAGTCGTCATTAGCAAATCAGTATTGGTTTATTCCTATGAAAATAGATCAATGCTAAAAGTAAAATGCATCCCATTAAGAATGATACAGGTTTTACAAATGGAGAAAAGTAGGTCAAATATTGCACCAATCATCCCAGAGTGCATCCCTCTAAGCCAAATAAATGTGTGAATACACTTAAACTGTCAGGACGTCATTTGATTGCCATTATTATGCATCTTTTGGCATGAGCTGGCAGAGCCCTCTGTGACTGAACAGGGATTGAAAATGTCAATTTCGATGTATTAGCCAGGTTGTATTTTACACCTGGGCTGCATAAAGGGCTGCATGGGGGGGGTTGCCCATTTAAAGATTCTTCCTTTACCCTCATTGCAACAGTTGAGTTCAACTTAAGCAGGAAAGCCACATCATTGTATGCAAGGGACATTGTAGCAATGCAGCAGAGGAACACGATTTAAATCTGATCATTAAACTGCCGCAGCAAGAGGCTGCGAGAGACGGTGTGGATGGTCCATCTGCAAAATCTGTGCTCCTGTTGTACAAGGAGGAGGGGCGGAGGGGGAGAAAAAGCAGCTGCTTGGCTGTGCTATGAGAGGGTGAGACTGACTGTTGGCACCATCTGTAGCTGTCCTTTGTGCTTCCTGCTTTATCTGTTCATTATAGTATGATACTGAATTTCTCGTGCTTTGAGTGTAAATGAGTTGAGATACGCCTAATACTGTCAGCATAAAAAGCAGTAACTAAGTACACTAAAGATGAATAGTGTAATCTGTAAATTCATTTTGAGTTTGTTTCATCTTGCTTGAATAGCCCAGGAAGTGATGTTCTCCAGAAGCCAGCTGTACCAGATGTGTGTTGGCGGGGTATATATTCATCTTACCAAGCAGAGAGCAGAGCAGTGGAGGTGGATGAAGCAGGAGAGAAGGGGAGGCCACCCCGTATTTTCCAGCAGGGGAGAGCAGACTCCTTTAGAGGGTCCTTGCTTCTGCTGAACAGGATAGAGGGGAACTGGTAACTCCTAAGGTGGCTACAAACAGCTTTGTTTTCATTCCATGCACAAGCACCAACGCAGGGAAGAGAGAGATGATTATACATGGTACATGAGTCGAAATGTCCCGGGGGAGGAAAGGTTGAACCTCTCCATAATGAGTGCTGTGATAGGGATGAGTAAATTTGCTAGGATTTTTAGCTGCAGTCTCTTACTTTCTAAAAACATGAGTCCTCTCCACTTAACTCACAGAACGAAACTGTCCAGCTTATCTTGAGGACCTCTTTGTTCTTTGGCAGTTTATGTTTCACCTTTATAAATGTCCTTACTGGATATTGGTAATAATAACTCATTAGAATGTTTTCTTATCTCCAGCTCAACAAAGCAATGCTATCTCATTGGCATATTTCTTTTCTGGGAGTTACTTTCCTTTTTTTTCCAGGAGGGTTTGGCTTTTTGTTTGCAGATTCATGCCCTCAGATCCATTGGGTTGTTGCTTTTTATCTTGCTTGTCAAGTGCACATAGGTGTGCAGAAGGAGCAACTCCCTTCTCCCATCATAGCCTCGTCTAAGATGGATGATTTCGTAGTAATTACACTCGGCTGTGAAAGTGCTCAGCATCCACTATTACTCTGCGACGGCTGCCTTAAGTGTTCGGCAGAACACTTTGTTCCTATTTCTCTGAGCTCAAGTGGCTGTGGTGCAGGGGAAGAAACCCTGTGAGGCAGGAATTTGTATCTCCAGGCGGCTGGAAAAGGGGGAGGGGGGCCTTTGTCACTGGCACATTAGTAATGATATGCCAGGGATAAAAGGTGAGTATAATTTGATCAAATGCTTGTTGACAGATTCCTTGGCTAATAGAGAAGCAGCTTAGACTGACACACGTTGCTGGAACATTTCACAGAGCTCCGGGGAATGCTTTTTGTAGGCTTCTTGTGAGGCTGACAATTTTCAAGTGACCGTATTTAGTTACATAAAGAAATGGTGTCCCCTTTTTGTCACAGCAGAGCTCTAAAATGCCTCCCTGAACACCGCTCTTGACCTTCCGCTTGATAAATGCAATAAAATTGCTACCTCTTCTTTGTCCAAATGTGTGATTAATTCACAGGAATGGTCCAGGCTCTACGTATTTTTCTTGTGTGGCCATTTAACTTGAGAAAATCCAATTTTTTCTTGTACTGAAAAATCATATTTGTGGGTGTTTTTTGTAAAGCAGGTTCCTTTTTCTCCCCTACAAATATGACTTTATGATTAGTCTCTTTGGAATTTGTTCTAAGTATGTGTGAACAGTACCTGTGAGTAGCTACTGGAAAAAGGAGGTGGTGTACCTGGAAATGATAGTTTGCTACTGCTTATGTTTATGTTATTAAGTGAAAAGATAACCATTAGAAAATTAATGAAAATAGAAACCTCGATTTTAGAGAGTTCTGCACTTCTCTCTTTTAAACAAGCAAGCCTAAAATTACATCTAGAGCTCTTCCACGCTAAACTACTGTGGCAGGTTGGGTTTTGAGTAGTCTTCTGGTTCTCACCTACTTGTGCAATCTGTTGATTTGTGTTCGGTTCATAACACCTCAGGAAGGCACTTAGTTAAAAATTAAACATGAAGCATTTTCTTGTTCTGAGGGTTTTGTAAAGGATCCTTTAAAGAAGAAAAAACCCCAAGCACTTCCACTTGAGAACATTTCCTTCAACTGCAGGATTTTTCAATTAGTCTGCACTTTGTTCCAGTCGAACTCCTGACTGTGTCATCATACCTGGCTGACTTTTTACTGGTGCCACTTCTGATGCTGGAATTAAATAGGCAGCTTTGAGGCTCAGTCAGGTGTCGCTGGAGGCTTCAGTGGGGTGTCTTGGCTGGGTGCACTCATGGGAGCCAGGTTTCACCCACAGTCACTTTCTGGGGCTCTGCTTACTTGCAGAGTAGGTGGTTTCTGTGACAGGACCTGGTCTTTTCTGAGCGTGGGTGCATACGGGAGAGGCCACGTTTTCAGGGATAATGACCCCTTTCATGTCTTCAGAAGGAGTTGCAAGCTTTGCTTCCCTCTGAGAAATCTCTGCATCTTCATAGTTCATAAGCGTGATTTTCCTATAAGCACGGAATTACCCTCATTGACTACAAGATTAGGCACATAATGGAGATTCACATTTAGGGGTTGTGCTGGGTCAAATATAGATTTAAGTGCCTAACTTTTGTATCCATGCATCATTCTCCTGTTTATCTATTCGAGACTGGTAGCTCATAGCAGTTTTGGAAATTAATTCCTGCACATGGGTTTCTCTCCAATTAATCTTTTGCAAAAAACCAGCTAAACGGAAAAGAGTTCTTTTCTCCCCTCTGTAAATGATGTCTTCTCTATGTTTTTGTTATGTTTCTATTAGTGTGAAATGAATTCTTCTGCATCTTTTTTCAGCAGTCCCATGTCCTTGCGCCTCATCCATTCTTCGTGTCTATGCTGCTCAGCTCAGACAAGTCCTCTCATGTCTCCTGGGCTGTGCAGAATGTTTGTAACTTGTGTAAAAACTTTGTAATGGTAGTGTAGGGCAATTACAGACTCAGTTTGATAGGATAATAATGTGAGAGGTTGTTCGTGGACAAGCTTTTCACTCCTGGGGTTTGTCTGTTCAGACTGTGACTCCTGTTTCAGTGGCTCTCACCTGCACTGGGTTGTGCAGGTCCTTCAGATGTGTGCTCACTGTCGTTTGTTCTGTTTGCACAGCACTGCTTTCATCCTGGTGTGAGGAGCTGGGACGGCTCTTGCTGCTTCGCCACCAGAAAAGCCGGCAGAACGATCCTCCAGGGAAGCTACCCATGCAACCCCCCATGAACTCTATGAGCTCCATGAAACCCACCCTCTCTCATAGGTGAGTCTGGGCCCAGTCCACAGCAGTTTGTACAGATGCATCGCATGACAGGTCTGTTAATTGAAATGTTTGTTACCATTGACAGAGGTAGGTAGCTATGCTGCTTCATGCACTGCTCAGCACTACAGACAACAGGGTATCTGTAATTACAGCAAGTACTAAATAAACTCAGGTTTTGTCTTTGCTATTGGCCAGTGCATAGTGAAGTAACATGTCCATCTCCAGATTTGGGCTCAGCTCAAGTGGACTTTCAAACTTCAAGTTGTGCCCTAGAGATAAATTTCTACATCATGTCTCTCATCAGATGCTTGATGTTTATTTATGTACAACTGGCTTTTCTTGATTGTTGAAGGCATTTCACTGATGTTTTGTGTTTTAATCATCGTTGGAAATGTATTGCATACAAAGCAGGTGTACAGTGGGTGTAGCCATAGATCAGAGAATGTCCTTTATAATCTTATATCAGGTGAGGATCAAAAAGCACTTGTATTGATTTAGAGAAAATGTGAACATTAAAAGACACTATAAGAAGCTGAAGATGCAAAGCCTTTGATTGTCAAATTAGGTGGAGGAGCACTATTTGTATTTCTTGTCTGCAGAGCCTAGGTCAGGGCAAAAGCTGGAGATTAAGTGTAGACAGGGATAAGCATTCATTTCATGCTTTATGTTTCTGGGAGTTTTGTCCAAGCCTTTGTCCAAGCCTCAGCATCACATTAAAGAAACCAGAAATAGTATAAATTGGGTTTAGTGTGGAGTATTTTTGTTAGTAAAGGATGATAAGAGTGTGGATGAGGCTAAATTCCTTGTACCTAGATTCCATGGTAGCATAAATAACTTGAACTTTTGCGTTAGAGTGGAGCTTAGGGACATCTTTGTACCTGTGCATTTGCATGTGTCAATTTGTCTGAAAACCACTTTTGGTTTTGGGGTTGGGATTCTTTTTCATTATTTTTGTGGCATTTATGGGAAAACCATGCAATCACTATGCCTTTTGTTTTAGCCCTTGAGAACAGACTCCTTTTTTTTGTAGTATAATTAATATAAAATCACTGACTTTTCAGAGTACCTGGATTGCTTCTTTTTTCAGTTGCTTATGAAATGACCGACTGTAAACACACTTAACAGAAACAAACAAAAACTTGATGGTTTAAAATAACCTAATTTTACACTTGGGAGAAGCTTGTCAGAAGACAAAGTGAAATGAGTGGTCAGTGTGCAGAGAAAGTGTGGTTCAGTGTATGTGTTCTCTTAGGTGTAGTTTTTAGATGCCTGATTCTCATTTGGCCTCTCTTCCCCTAGAGTCTAAAGTAAGACCACAGTGGCTGTTTGCTACATTACTAGATAAGATAGACAACTCACTTCCTTCATGGCAGTTTTTCACTGAAACTGTCACATGTCAAGAAATAAATACTTTCTTCTGCTAAACCTAAATACCAGCATTCCCGGCAATACCAGGTTGCCCAATATTCTGTCTCGTAGTAGAACATCCTGCCCAGTATCAAGCAGTTCCTGCAAATTTTTCTTGAGTATTGACCTTGAAATCCTTTACTGGGGAAGACACTGGGAATAATTTCTAAATTACTGCTCTTCACTTATGAGATGCCCCTCTAAAAAACAGAATTTCTTTGGCATAACTTCTTATCTAGAATAGCTAAGCAGCCTCTTAGGGATTTGGAATACCTGCATCACTGTTTTAGTGTGTGCTGTTGTCTTGTCTGTAATTTAGCCATAACCATGACTGCCATATCTCTCAGGTGGTACATTAGAATGAGACATCCTGTGACTCTCCAACTTCTTTTTCCTCCTGGAACTACTTATTTTCATGGATGTTTTATAATCAGTCTAAAAGACAGTAAGTGAAGTATGCACTGAAGAAGAATTGAGTTTTCTATTTGTTTTAATTAAACAAAAGATGAAAAGCCATTAAGTACAATCCCAGTGATGAAGCTGTTGATGAAGCACCATTTGCATTTGCATTAGATTACATTTCGGTCAAAAGCTTAGTATTAAAGTTCACAGTATCTTATCTCTAATTCACAAGGCTTTTCTGTTAATTCAAACCAAAAAAAGTATGTTTTGGATTTCCTACAAAAAATTAATGTAGCCAGCTACTTCAAGTTTTGTAAAAGAACTAGATATTAAAGTAGAACAATCAAGAGCATATTCAAGAACGTTACTTAACAGAGGCCATGTAGGATATATGTTAGCTGCTGAATATCACTAAACACAAATAAATCCTTCCCCTGTCATCAGACAGTGTTGAGTACTTCACAGAGAGATTTTTCTGCTCTTTTACTAGCAACAAAATTGCCCAGAATTCTAGTCAGGGACTAGAATCCTGATGTACCTGGCACTACAGAAACACAGTGCTTAGTCCTGAAGTTGAAACAGGGCTCGACTATTTAAAATAAATTCTGACTCAATAATGTATCACAAGAATCTAAATCTGAGGATTCATATTTAATAAACTATGGGCACTTAAACTGTTGAGAATTCAGGTCTGGCCTATTTTTAAGGACAATCTTTGATTTTTAGAAAGTTAATTGAGTTATGAGAAAAATCTGAAATAGGCTGATTAGGGAGTGCTTTGATAGTGTTACTAATGGTCAAATGCACTTACAGAGAGCAGAATAGAAACCATACAAGGATGTGCACACATGCAACAAATGCTTTCAGAGTAGAGACTGTATTGTGCTAATTTCTTTCTAAATTTAGTTTTTCATTAACAGAATGATCAAGTCTTGCATATAGGAAAAAAAATCAGCTAAATACCTGCTGTTTTATGTAGGGCAGTTGGGTGGACTGCAAACGCCTGTTTTATGAACAGAATGAGCACTGGATTCTCAAAAAGAACCCCCCCCCCCAATCTTAGGAGTTTTTTTAAAGTCAGTGCAGTGTAATAGTTGGCTCAAACTTTAATGTGATATTTTTATTTACTTTAGTTTTAGACTTTTTTTACTGATTTGTATGGGCAAACTTCACTCCTGTATTGAAGGATCATGTAAGACCTATCTCCTTAATCTTGTATAACTTCTAATTAAAGTCCTACTTAATGAATTTATGGGGAACTTAAGGAGAGCCATTAGTCTTGGGGCTAGCCCTACTGCACAGGATTGAAATTTCATGCTTTCTAGCTTGCAGGGAGTAATGTAATTTCTTTTTGTTGTAGTTTTCCAATCTGACATAATGTCTGTTACTACTCAAGGTGGCTGATTTTTTACTTTTCAATGAATTTAAGGTCTTTGGCAAATGTTGTTATGTAAGTACAAATTATTGTCATTACACACCTCCCTTTGCTTTGATGAAGTTCCTACTTAACACTTCATTGCATTAAGTTGTGGCCCTTTATATGTGGATCAAATTCAGTCTTGGTTGAAAGAGTTACAGTTTCAATCAATCCCAGTGGGAATTGCACCCTAGTTCATTTTCAGGTCCATCTGACCCAGGCAAGCCCTAGGGGCCTTCTCGTTCCTTGCACAGCTTGTAGTAAAGCTTACTTTGTCAACAAAACCACCTGGAAAGAGACAGCTGTTATTTGCAGTTTGGTATGTTGTCGTGAGCATCTGTAGGGTTCTTACTGTCTTCACTCTTCCTCCAAATTTCGGTCTTCTGTACTAATTGCCAGCTGTCATGCAATTAGTGACCAAAGGGTGGTAATGTCTGTATAGGGCAGTCAAGACTGATGAAAAATACAAAGATAAAATTGTTTTTATCACAAATTACTTAGTGCCAGAGGTTTAGAGAAAATTGAACAGTAGATCAAATTAAGTAGTAATTCAATATTATGGTAGGTGCTTTATTTATTATCATTACTGTTTCATGTTCAGGCAATCGCCATAAATACCTTTTATTGGCTAGACCTGCTTCACAAAGGTGCTTGTTTTTAGTGTTTTGTCCCTTTTTTCTTCCAATTTAAACTTTACTAAGAGCTGAACTTTCAAACATTGGTAGGAGCTCTTGAAAAAGAATGGTAATTTTCTGTCTGAATTTTTACTGGGTGGTTGAGACTGGCTCTTGCATTGTTAAGAACCAGAAGTGAACTGGTTATAACATACCGGTAGAAAGAGTGTCAGAATTTCTGTAAAGGCTACTGCCTTTTCCATTTTGCCCTCATAGGTGGTTTTGACCAACAGTGATAGTCACTTTAAAAATGTCTGGATGAGAAAAATGGTTAAAGTGAAAGGTTGAGTGGAGCATATACAGACTTATGTGAAAACAAGCATCGTGTGCATGTTTTATACATCGATTTGAGGTAGGGATTGCTTCATTATGTCATGTGGCTGTGGCATACAGGGACAATCTTTGCAAAAGAATTCATAACTCCTTAGGTGAAAGATAGGATTGTTTCAAAGCCTTTTCATCTTTCTGTTTGTGAAGTTGTGAACTAAATATAATTAGGGACTGAACAGATGGTAAATTCTAATATAAGAGAATATACCCAGTAAAGGAACCTGGTTTACTTCTGTTTCTGCAAGAGGAGCTTCACTGTTTTGTCTGTCTTCCTTTCTGTCCTTCAACGTTAAAATTCACCATCAGAAAAAAATAAGGGAAAAGTTCAGAAACAAGAAATTTTTTCCTCTACATGTTGTATATACTAGACAAAGTTTTACGGTTTTGGTTTGTGATTTACTTTGATTAAAAAGTGTAAGCTGATATTTTTATAAATCCTGACAAAAACTAGGCAAATATTATTAAAGTATGTCTGCTGACTGAGGCAAAATCTGATCTTCTCAGGCTTCGTGGTGCCTGTGTTAGTTTTTAAAATATGGTAACTAACAGCTTTGAACAGACAGGTATCGTTTCCATGTTTGGGCCATATTGAACATCCAATTCCTGAAAATGTCTGGTTCATTGTGATTTACTGTGTAGTAATAATCACAACAGTATCATGCTCTTTTGCATGAGGTCTGCTCTCAAAAGCACATGATTTGTGCTTAGTCTACATGATTATCCTCTTTGTATTGGGAAGGTTCCCTCTGTCACTTGTTCTCAAGGAAACC